AAGCAATACAAGGGAAAACAAACTAAATAATTGCAATGGATTTGAGTTTGTTTTTTTATTTTCATAAGTTAGATTTTTATTGGTTTAATTTTCTATAATTAATAGTATATTTATTAAAAAATAATTTTTATTCTAATCAAATTTAATAGTTGGTTTTATTTATTTGTTATGATTCCTTTCCATTCTCTTCAATATATTCAATTTAATAAAGGGTTTAATGGATTTTTGATTAATACACCAAATAACAATAATAGTATTATTATATCAACTGCGTTTGGAGTTGGTAGTGTTCATGATAATATCTTTGGAGCTGCTCATTTTCTTGAACATATTATTCTTCGTGGAAATAATCAATTTAATAGTGAAGAATTAAGAAAAATGAATAATAAGCAATTATTAAATATTTCTGCTATAACTTCTAGAGAAATTACTAAGTTTCAGTGTATTACAAGTCCATTATATTGGAAAAGAGATATAACTACAATGATGTCATTATTATTTCAACCAACATTTAATAACAAACAAATAATAAAAGAAAACAATATAATTAATTCTGAAAGGCAATATGTTAAAATGGATAAAACTCAATTACTATTTCAAAAAAAACATGAATTATTATTTGGAAATAATACACCATTTGGACATGAAATTATTGGTAGTGAATATTCTCAAAAACAAATACAATTTTTAGAATTACAAACGATGTATAATAAATATTATAATTCAAAGAATTGTTGTATTGGAATACTATGTCCTTACCAATATCAAAATCAATTAATAAAATTTATTAATAAAAATATTAATCAATTTTATCTTAAACAATATTCAAAGAATCAATGTTTTAAATCTACTCATATTAGTCAATATAAAAAACCAAAAATTATTTCTAAAGACAATTATTGTATAGTTACAAAAGGTTCTTTTAGAAATAGACTTATTACAGATTTAATTAATTATAAATTTTCATTAAATCAAGAAAGTTATCATATCCCTTATCATTATTACAACTTAATTCTTTCTTCTTCTCCTTTAAATTTAAAATTTCTTCAAATAAATTCATCTCTTAAAGAAAATTATTTAAATAAAGTCAATGAAGTATTTAATACAAATCCAATATTTTTATTAGATTATTATTTAATGTTTGATCTTAATTTTTATTATATTCATTTAAATTAATTATAAATATTAACAAATATTAGGAAAATGATGTATAAAAAAGTACATACTACTTATGAACTTTCTATTCTTCAAGATTATAATTTTATTAATTCTATTAAACTTAATAACTTGAAAGAAGTATTTAATTAAATTTTTCAACTTCCATTTCATTAAACTCTTTTTCATCAATACAAAGGATTTTTGAATGAGAATAAACTAATGAATAGTAATCAACAAATCCTGTAAGTAATCCTTTTTTAACTCCTTGAATAAGTCTTACTTCATATTCTATATTAAATTTACATTGATTAATATTCATAACAAATTGTTTAACACGTTCTTGAAGGATTCTGTGTATTGCAGTTACTGCTCTCTGTTGATTAAAAATAACAATAGTATCATTTGTCTCTGAACAATAATTATTAAATGTTATAAGAAGATATATCTGATTTTGAATTGTTCTAATTGGTTTTAATTGAATATCTATTTCAGGTCCATGTCTAAAGTTTGGTTCAAATACTAACATTTCTTGTTCAGTTCCATATGATATTTTATAAAAACCTCTTTTTAATGACATATTATTTTGGTTTGTTTCTCCTACACTAATATTTATATTTCTTCCAGCTTCACATTGTAAAATGATTTTATCGTCATTAACAGAACTAAAATATATTTGTGGTTTTTGTGTTCCATTTATTAACTCTAGTTGATTTTCTTCATGAATTTCTACTGTTATATTTGTTTGGTTCTCTTCACTGTTTCTTTGAGTAGTAAACTGTATAGTGCTTTGTTTTGATTTCATTTTCCTTATTGCATCTAATTCTTTTGCAAGTTTTATTTTCAACATCTACTGAAATGAAAATTAGTTATTCACTTATTTTTTTTTTTGAAAAAAAAAGTGAAGTAAATTTGTGTTTTGTTTAACAATTAATTAGTAGGTACCAAAACCTTTGGAGAAGCAAGATGAAACATAGAATATTGTGCAAGATATGGTACATCTCTGTGAGTAACTGTAATTCCTTCACTATTTAAATGATCTAACCAAATACCACATTCACGTTCAACATTTTGCCATTTTAAATTCCAACCACTTTCAGTGATATTATAAATTTTTAATAATTCTTTAAAAAAGTTCTTTTCATTTTTGAAGTCTTTAACAAACATTTTCATAGTTTGTGGAACAAATATTGTTTTTGAATTACCTAAAGCAGCACATTGAGTTCCAATAAATTGATTAATTGCTTTTCTTTTTTGATCAGTAAATTCATTAGTTTCATACAACCAAATAGGAGGTGATGAAGTCATGCCAAAACTTATTAAGAAACAAATGAAATTATCTTTTTCTTTACAAACAAATTTTCCTTTAGGACTTGTTGAAGGATATGAAATATTTGGTCCTAATGAATCATCTTTTCCAAATGGTGCCCTTAACATTCCACAAAGAACTTCTTGTAAAGTAAAATCTAATCCATCAATTTTATAAACAATTTTTTTATACTGTTCCATTAATGTACGATGGTCTGGGTATGGTCTATGTTTCATATAAATTAATCCATGAAGTAACATAGTATGATAAACATTTAACCAAAATGGTTCTTTTTCTTCATCTTTTAAATGTAATAAACTAATAACAGCTAATTCAGTAGATTGTGCTTCAAAAATTGCAAATTTTTGTTTTTTATCAAGATAAATTGATTCAATATCAACGTCATTAACTCTACCATAAAATCCTGATCTTAAGTATAATGATATTATTGCATATAATAAAGATCTACTAACTTCTAATGGACTTCTTGTTGTTTTATCAAATTTTTTACTTGAAATTTGATTAAGTGGTACTGAAGGAAAAGGAGTTAATAAATGATCCAATACTTTCTCATATAAATTGAAATTAGCTGCAAGATGATAATTAGGATACATTGATGGTGCATATACTGAATTAGCAACTACTCCCCAACTTTCTCCAAATACTATATCTCCTGGATGACTTTGGAGATCAGCAAGAACACTTTCACAACGAGGTGGAATAGAAGAAAGGTCAACCATGTCAGGAGTAACTAATTCGTTAATACCTGAAATAGATGTTGGAACATTTTCTTCTTTAATAATAGTTTCTAATTCTTCAAATTGAATAGTTAATGTAAAGTTTGGTGCTAAGAATTTTTCATCACGACACCCTTTATCTAATTCAAGTTTTGTTAATGTTAAAGTAGTTCCTTTAACAAACCATGTATTAAACCAAACAGTAAATAATTGTCCTAATTTTTGGCTATAAACTTCTACTTTTACATCTCCCATTAAATTAACATTTTCAATTGGAAAAGTAATTGATTCTTCTCCATATTTATCTGAACCAGCTTGTTCTCTCATCTTCCAATCCCATGCACAAATAGCTTCTCTTATTGACACATCTGGTTTATGTTGTTTAATTTCTTCATAAATTTTATCAAACAAATCAATGTCAGCTTCTCTTTTATTTTTATTTTCTCTTCCTTTTCCTCCTCTGACTGTTCCAAGAGCTTTATCACATTGGATAGTTTTCCATAAAAAGATTTTAATTCTTAAATCTTCATTAATCTTTGGAATAGGTTTCATAGTAATTGAAGTTAATTTCAATTTTCTTTGTCCATATGGTAGTTTTGCCAATAAAGTTGATCCCCAATACCCAACATATTTAAGTTGTGATGGGATAGTTACTCCTTTTTTATCATATGTTCTTGCATTTCCATAAAGATCAACTGCTTCATATGAATGGAGACAGTCTCTAAAATATACTAATAAACATGCACACATTAATCCAGTTCTTCCTTTTCCTGCTTTACAATGTAAAGCAATAACATTTTGAGGGTCACGAGAAAGAAATTCATCAACATCTTTACATAATTGAGATATAATTTCAAATTGAGGAGCGTTATGATCATCGAATGGGAAATAACAATCTATTTTATAAGTACTTTTAATTAATTACCTTATTAAACATCAAACATTCACCTTTAATTTTATGTTCTCCATCATATGGTTTCTCTGAACAAAAATTATAAACTTTATAATGACCCCCATGAAACGTATCTAAAAAACTATATTCATACATAAATTCTTTTCTTTCTTTAATTGATTAAAAACAAAACTTTAATAAACAAACTTCATTACATCTGGAAATGGATTTCTATAAGCAGCTTCAAATTTTTCACTTGGAAATCCCATTGTAATAATACGTGGAGTAATATCTATGATTTATGAATTATATTGTTATAATTAATTCAATAAAAAAAAAAGAAATAACAAACACGACAAATCAAGATCAAATCCAAATTTCTGATATCTTTTCTTTTCTTTAGAAACTGCCTCTCGTAAAAAACTTGACATTATTTTTTTTAGTTCTTCTTCTTTTTTAAACTTATTTCTGAAACATCTTTTTAACAGCTTCATGTTGGAGGCATCATCAAACCTTATTTATAATAGAAAAAATAATGCTTCAAAAACTTATTGGACTTTGTAATACCTTCTTCTAACCATTAAACATTTTAAAAAATATAAATATTGTTCATTATTTCTTCTTACAAACTATATTATTTTATAAGTTGTAATAGTGGATTTATTTAAATAAACTACGGTTTGTTTCATAGAAAATTAAGGTGCTTTTTGTTTTTTAATAAATCCATTGAAGTAGATTATGTATTTACTCAAAGTATTGTTGGTATATTATAAAAAATTAATAAAATGTATATGGTTCTTTATTATATGTTTATTATTAGCTATTTGATTAATAACAATTTCTATTCACTCATGTTTTATGTATGCTGCATCTTAAATCCTTTAAGTTTTTATGAAAAAGTAATTTTAATTTGGTTAATTGAAATTTTATTGTTTTTATTTACTATTTATAATTTCGTCAAAAGGAGTAGATAAAACTACTACAGTAAAAACATGGGAAAGTCCATTAATATTAAAAAGAATTCATTTCTCCAATTAACTAAAATGCAAGATGGAGCAATATTCAGGGGGTATAGAAAATCAAAAATAATGAAAAATGAAAGATTAAAATACTCATACTGCACACTATGTAAAGACAAGATAGCTACAGTACAACACATCTTACTATATTGTATTGGTAATAAAAAATTACAAATAGAAAAACATACATGACAATATTGGCATTATAATATTGAT